CTGGCCTGGTTTAGCAAGGGGAGGCAGGACTGTGTGTGTGTTTGTGGGTGTTTTAAAGGGACTTTGGGATATCAACGTTGACATTCGCCATTATTCTAGACCTGTAGAATTTTTGAATAAATAGTTCCTTTCCTTTTAACCAAACTCGGGCATTGAGAGCCAGTTCCTAACACCTAGTGGTGGGCAGTCAGAAGAACCATAGCACAGAAAGACCCCAGGGGTGGGAGCTTGTTTTGGTCACAGTATCTGGGTCACCCCAAGGACTCCTTTCAGTAACACTCTGGACACTAAACCTTTACTTGTGAGATACATAGTTTGCATTTTCTCCCAGGAATGAGAACTCTTACAACTACTTAGGAAAAACTGTTTGTCATTATCTACTAAAGCCTTGGACTCCACAATCCATGTCTACAAATATACCCCAAATTAATGAGAACATGTCTTCTATAAGACACATCTGAGTGTTGATAACAGCACAATTCATAATAGCAATTGAAAAACCGAAAAGTTGTCTGCGGCCATACCACCCTGAATGCGACTGATCTCGTCTGAAAAACTGAAAAGCACCCAAAGAACCTGTGGTACTGAGTACTGGTCCCCCAAAGATCCCCAAGTCCTAATCCTTGGAACCTCTGAATGTCACTGTACTTACCTGGCAAAGGGACTTTGCAGGTGTGATCAGGATTTTCAGAGGGGAAACTTAGGACTTCCAGTGTCCAGTCCAGCAAGTGGGTTGGAAGTCATCTCTCCAGTCTAACAAGCAAAAAGCTAAATAAACTGAAAAATCAAAAACTCGTCTTTAATCTCTCAGGAAACTGAGTTCACAAGGCCAACTACTGTTCCAAAAATTGGAGAAAAGCAGGCAGATCTTGGAAATCACAACTTATGGAAGCAGAAACCTCTTAGGGAGCCAGTCATGGGTAGGTGACTGAACTGTAATTGACAGGTGACTGAACTGTAACTGACAGGTTACTGGATACTCAGAGTAGCAGACAAGTCTGAGTTACAAAACCCCACTCTTAGTGGGATCCCCACACTCTTTCATCTCTAGGAGCTCCACCAGGTTCTCCAAGGAAAGACCAGAGAAAAATCCTCTGCAGCTTCTGGCAGGGGGAGGAGGAAAATGACCATTTTGAAATATGCAAGTAGGCCAGATTACTTTGTTCTTAACAAGGCCTGCCCTCAAGAGAAAGTATTTCACCAAAGCCTAACCTACAGGGGTTTTGTCAGTCTAAGCAATCTGCCAGGAAGAAAATGCCCAACTTCTGAACCCTCTAGCCACCCTGTCTCACCAAAGGGTGAGGGACTGAGAAGCACTTGTTAATAAATTCACAGCCCAGGGGCACAGGCTCTCTGAAACCTAATCATAGGACTGCAGAATGCTTCCCCTGCCCCCAGCACATAACTAAAGGCCTATTCACTAGAATTCTTTTCACCCACCACATCATGTCCAGCTATCAAAAGAAAATGACAGGGGGAGGAGGGAAGTGGGTGGAGATGGACGAGGGTACAAGGGTGACAAATAGTAATGGAAAAGATACAATAAAAATTAACTATTTAAAAAGAGAAAATTGCAAGGCATAGCAAAAGGGGGGAAAAACAACAGCACAGAAGCATCAGAATCAGATTCATATTTATATATGGCAAATGTTAGAATTACCAAACCATGAATTTAAAACAACTGATTAAAATGCTAAAGGCTCTAACAGAAGAAGTAGACAACATGTAAGAACAGATGGATGGTATAAACAGAAATAAAGTCTAAGGAAGAATAAGAGAAATAATAGAGATTTAAAAAAAAACTAACAGAAATTTAGAATGCTTTCCATAGGTTATTTGGTTGACTGGACATAGCTGAGGAAAGAAATTCTAAGCTGAAGGATACATCAATAGAAACTTCTAAAACCAAAAAGCAAAGAGGAAAGGCAGGGCAAAAGTTAAAAAAAAAAAAGGGAGGAAAAAAGGAACCAAATATCCAGACACTCTGGGACAACTACAAAACATGTAACATACACATAATGGGAATACCAGAAGAAAGGACCAGAAGGAATATTTGAAGCAGTAATGACTGAGAATTTCCCCCAAGTTAATGTCCAACACTAAACCATAGATCTAGAAGTTCTAAGAACACTAAGAATAAATAATAATAATAAAAACATGACACCCAGGCATATCATACTCAAATTTCATTAAAGATAAAAAATCTTGAAAGAAGCCAGAGTGGAGGGAAACACCTGTGGGGAAACAAAGATAAATTTTACATCTGATTTCTCTCCAGGAGCCAGGCAAGCAAGGACTCAAGTAAGGAAGGGGAGCGGCGCATGGGGTTACTCGGGTTGGCCCGATTGGGTCACATGGATCCAGTACTAGGGAGGCAGCGGAGTCAGAGTGAGAAGCAACACGATGGAAGCAGACGGTGGAAGATACAATGCTGCTGGCTTTGAGGATGGAAAGGGGGCCACGAACCAAGGAGTGCAGGCAGCCTCCAGAAGCTGGGAAGAAAAGGAAAAGATGTTCCCTGGAGCCTCCAGAAGAAACCAGTCTTGCTGACATCTTAACTTTAGCCCAGTTAGAGACTGATTTTGTACTTCTGTCCTAAATGTGCATTGTTTTAAGCCACTGAATGTTGGTAATTTGATGCAGCAGCAATAGGATGCGAATATACTCGACACGGGGTGGTGAACACACAATGCAATATACAGATGATTTGTTGCAGAATTCTATACCTGGAGCCTATGTGATTTTATTAACCAATGTCACCCCAATAAATTCAATAAAAAGTAAACAAAATAACAAAACTACTACATACCCATCAATAACAGAATGGATAGATTGTATTTTGCACAATGGAACGTAATGGTGCGATGAGAATGGGCAGTTATTGCTACATGCAACAAAATGCAAGAACCACAGAAGTCATATTGAAAGAAGCCTGGCACAAAAAAAGAATATAAACTCTAAGGTTCCATTCATATAAAGATTAAAAATAAAACTTATCTACAGCTTTGGAAGTTATTAAGACAGTGCTTAGTTGGTGTGTGAAAGTTCTGACCAGGAGGCACGCAAAAAACACAGGGGCGCCAGTACTGTCGTCTCTCTGGATCTCGATGCTTGGTTGTATGTGGTCGCTGTGCGGTACTGCAGCCAGTTTCAAACCTGCAACTGGTACACTTCTCTGGAGCGTACACTTCAATAAAAAGTGCTTTAAAAAAGTTTAAAAACAAATTTCCTTGCAAAAATAGGTTTTAGGCTTAACCATGGTAAACACAAGGTTTGAGATTAGTTAAAACTGAATCCCATATAAAATGAACTATTACAGTTATTTCAGGTAACAACTCAATTAATTTCAAGAATTTTCTAATACATCTCCAAGGTCACACAGGGAAAAGTGAATTGGTGTAAACATGCATGCACAGCAGATACAGCAAAGTATGGCGTGATGAACAGGCTACAATTTTCTCCTTCGTTACTTTCACCAAGTCCTAGTTTAGAAAAATTGGGTCTTTACAATATGATTGTAGAGGACCCTTTCTGGAAGAAGAGTTTATCAATGGCATTTTTCATCTCATATTCATCAAACAAAATGGTTTTGCAAATTTTTCCATGTCTGTGAACACCCTAAGTTTTTTCCACATTGAAACAAATTATTACCCTTATATATTTTTAGCATTTATATTCAACTATTAGGAGCCAAATACTATGAGAAAACTAAACATCTTAAGGTTCTAATAAAAGTATTATGTGAGATAATAGATGTATTTATTGTCTTCAAACATTTTGCTTAAAAAATCTTTGGAATATGCATTTTAAAGTAGTAACAAAGACCAATTTAAAGTGTGTAACCACATTTTCCAATGATCTGAAGTGACTCAAGTGATATGTGTATGTTTTTTAGCTGAATGATGAAATTGTTCTGATGCAGATTCTAACTAGCACTGAAAACTAGGTATAGGAAAGGTGGAACTACTAACGGGTATTCCTACCTGTGAGAGAGTAGCTACGTGTCAGTGCATTTGCCAAGCTTTTAAAAATAGCTTCTGCCCATTAAATGATAAAAGGCTGTATTTCTATCTACTAGGAGGGTTCTGCAGATCTAGACATGTGGGGAAGATGTGCTGATCAAGGTAAACTCCCGATTTAAGGAAACTTACAGCATAGTGAATCTGATGTACTCGATCTCTTAGTAAGAAGATCAGAATGCTTAATACTACTATTAAGTCAAACATTTCAAAATACTAACAAATCTTACTCATTATCTGATAAATACAAATTTAAATATAAGAGAATGCAACACATTATTTGAACCTGAATGCAGAGAATAAATACTTTATTAACTGATTACAGTTGAAAGTCACAAACAAAAAGGGGTATATTAAGGCAGAGCCATATACATATATATATGACATACATATATATGACATATATATATAGACAAATCCAAAGACTGTTACCGCTTTACATTTTTTAATAACCTCTGCATTTTTCTTTTACATATTTAGGCAGTGTGCTTTCTTTTCTTCTCAGTCAAAGAAACAAATCTTTGCCAATATTTCGAAATCATATTTTGGTAACTTACAGGATCATGAATTTAAACTAACTAGTGTATCAAATGCTATGTGATCCTTTTCTCAGCATATTCCATGTGTGGTGGTATATTTATGTCCAGGTGAAAAATCTGATAACCATCTTCTCTTTTCCAGTAAAACATAATTTTAAAAAATGATTTTAATAGTCTCAACTAAAATAGCTTGGACTTCCAAGTCTGTCAAATGCCCAAAGCATATTATTTTCTGCCCTTCCCTAAACCCTTCTAATATGTTTTAAATAGCCTTTAGGATATGATCACATGGCTTTATTTTAGATCTATAAATTTTGAGTTTTTCAAAATCCAAAATTACTTCCTTATGCAAAATGACAATGCAAACAGCAATCCTACATAATGAAGAGCAATTTTTCTTCTGTATTGCTCCCTTTTATAAAAATGGGCAACCACCAAAAAGAGAGACAAATTTAGTCCATCTGAAAAAGCACTCCAGCTCCCTAATTCCACTCTTGAAGGAAAAGGCAGAGGCAAGTTTACATTATCCCAGAAAACTGAAGAAATGGCTTTATTTGGTATCTTCAAGAAGCTTCTCCTTCCGTAGGCGATGTCGGTGTTGTAGGAGAAACCGTAACTGGTTTCCGTGTAATTCTGTCCAGTTCCGCGTGAACATCTGACAGGACAGGCTTCTGGCCTACAATGAAGGAAAAGAAGGAAGATTTAGGTATAGGTCAAAGTATTTTTTATACCAGTATCTCTTCATTAAAAAATTGCCAATGGTTTCATCAACTCTATCTAGCACACTAATGTAAAAAAAAAATACAGACGGAGTTGGAACTGCCATCCTGGAGGATGCCTCCAACCTTTGGAATGTTCAAACAGGGCAAAACAACCTCGGACGGAGCCTACAGCAGCACTGTATCCCAAACAACTGTTTGCAAAGACAGCAAAAAGCAGATCAGTGTTCCCTAGGACTGGCAGCTCCTGGGGAGGGAAAGAGTAACTGCTAATAGGTTCAAGTTTTCTTTTTGCAGAGATGAAAATATTCTAAAATTAAATATGGTAATGGTTTATATAACTCTAAGTATATTAACACTACTGAACTATACACTTTAAATAAGTGGACTCCATGGTATGTAAATCATATTTCAATAAAGCCGTGTTTTTAAAAAAAGCTCCAGGTAACTGTACCTGACTTTTTGGCGGATGGCGGTAAACCACTGCTTCCGCCTCCAGCCCCAGCTCCCGGGCTGCCCCCGCCGACACCCGGGCCTCCTGGAGAGCCGGTCTTTTTGCTCAGCAAACTATTGAAGAAATTTGCCAGCACACCTTCACTTGTAGCTCCAGCTGTAGAACAAAAACCAAAAACTTTCGATCAGAACATTAGATTGTTCTATAAATCATCATTTTAGTCATCACACCCAGAAGAATAGTAGACTTAAAATGTAAGAGCTGTACGTTCCAAATTCAAGAGCTGTATGTAAAGATCTAAGAGCTAAAAATTCAAGAGCTGTATGTTTGATCTTTAAAGGCTGGGTAACTTCTCTAATCTACTCAGACACAAAACAAAATATAGGCAACCTTTAAAAGTGTAAGATAATTATTTAAAAATCAGAATGTTATTTTTAAGAAGGCAAAGGCGTTTTAAACAGATGCTGGATGCTGATATATCTCTGCTTTGAAAGGAGTTCGTGAAAAACATGTGCCTCAAGTATTACGAAGTTACTTATCCCCCTCTATGATTACACAACATGTCATTTTTTCTTTTTTTACATATCATTTTTTCTTTGTTAATTGCATGTAACCGATTATCACAAAAATATGAATTTCTTCAATGACCTACCACAGCAGAATCACTAAATAAACCCAAAGCTTTCATGAAGTTTACACCCTAGAAGTGACATATTAAGACGATACTGTAAAATGGTTCTCAGGCTGATTAACTATGAGATTATAACCACAGAGACAACAACTAGAGGCTACTGCGCAAAAATGAAAATAGCTATGGTACAAGGGGAGTCTCGGGAGAGTTCTTTCTATTGTAAAATGCGCTGCTTTCTCTGAGAGGGAGAGAAACGCACCTTTCATGTTCGGATCAATCTTTTTTGACCCGGCAGGGATGGGTGACACACTGGCGACATTGGATGACACTGATCTGTTCGGTGTTCGAGGGGAGCCTCCTGGGACTCTCGGTGAGGAGTCCTGTGTGAGACCAAGAAAGCCATAATTATAAAAACTGGAAACTCCCAACTTCACACGTTATTGTTTATTATAAAAAGAAATTACTTGGCAACCATACCCCATCAGTTCTACTGTGACATTTACACTGCAAACCACTGACGGAAATGCTTAGCAGGCGTGTCCTCGTTGTAAGAAAACACCAGACCCATCGCACGTTGGAACACTAACTCTCCCTTCAGTGGAAGAACACGACTGCGTTGAACAGTGAGGTGCGGTGAAGAGCAGGAGCTGGAGAGCCAGACCTGGGTCCCCACGTGCACCCCCACCCACCAGCCGTGCAACCGCAGGGAAGCCTCCGTGTCCTTCAAGGTTTCCACCTCCCCAACTGCAAGATGGGGCTAATAGGAGTTCCTGCCTCCCAAAGCTGTTGTGAGCATTTATAAAATAATGCATGTAAGTGGTCTGGCACAGTAACTGATGCACGACAAACACTGCAAAATAGATCTTTACAATTTTAGTCATCTTAAAAGGAGTCAAGTTTATCTTTTAACAATCTCACAAATTCCAGAAGAATTCTTAATTCAAGTTTACATGAAAGTGTACCCATATGAGACACATATATGATTAAGAAATAAAGAACTAAAGCAATATGCACTCCATTTTAATAATTTTTGTCAAAATTAGTAATACTAACCACAGGCCTTCCAGCTGCAGTTGGTGGTTGCTTTGCTAAAAGGGTCTGAAAAACACCAAAGAATCCAAGGTTAGATATTCATAACGGGTACTGCTGTAGTTTTAAAGAAATTATATACAATAACAGCTCTGATGTAATTTCATACCTGTAGCTTCATAAGAAACACTTGGTCGTCTTCGGCCATAATTTCCTTCTCATGCACAAACTGAAATGAGCAATGAGCAATGCATTAACGAGCAAGTCTAGAAACAGGAGAAGTGGGGCATTTGCAACTAATTTTTCCTAAGTATTCAGTAGATAGGAGAGCCCTTACGTTTTTATTTCAGGGAAACCAGGAGCAAGTTCCCAGTCTATTTTCCACCCAGTAGCCAGAGTGATCCTTTTAAAAGGTTAGGTCAAATTACATCACTCCCCTGCTGAAACTCCCCCTCCAAGCACTTTCCATCCCTCTCAGGATGAAATCCAAAGTCCTGACTGCCGTCTGCCTGAGTGAGGCCCCACAAGACTTGAATTCTACCTTTCATCTCCTACCGCTCTGCCCCTACCCCACCCCACCCCACCCCACCACGGCTCTTTTTCAGCCTCTCTGGCCTCCTCACATTCCTGCCTCAGGGCACATGCACTTCCTGTCCCCTCTACCTTCGCAGTCTCCCCTCTTCCGCAGACATTCCCTAACCATTCCAGCAACAGCACGCCTCCCTGCTGTCCTCAGCCCTCTCTGCTTCACTTCCCTAGCACTTCTGACCACTTGGGAGGTGGCCCACATGTTGACTACTGTTGTTTCACACCCTTCCAGTTAGCACCTAGCGCCTGGACAATGGCTCAGTAAGGACAACTAAAACAAAGCAAAGTTGTGGAAAAAGAGAGACTGGGGAAAACCACTGCTTTTTTGATGTGTGCATTGCTTTTAATAGACATCCACACCCAATACCATGCCAACTGATTTTTCATTTGACATTACTTTCCATATTTCTGATTACCCAGAAACAGAAGACAGATATTCAATATGAATGGATTCTTAAGTGGGACTCTTATTATATGTTAAATCAAAATTACTTTTTCTTGAAACATGTCCAAATTAAAGGCCAGTGAGAAATACTATATGCAAACACTCATTTTTATACACCTTTCCAGAAACATCTATAAAACCTAACTATGGAACACCATGTATGTACTGCTTAACAGGCAATGAAGATACATGAAGAAAAAGTACCTTCTGGAACCGGATTTAACAGGCATAAGAGTGACATGGAACAATCAAGACTAAGTCCAAATAAAAGAAACTGGGAGCTCCTGGATAGCCTGGGAAACTGACAGACTGTGGAGAAGACCCAGGATCTGCCTCAACAGACAGATGCTGCTAACACGACTGTAGCCAGGTTTTCTTGGCTTGGGCTGAGCTCTAGGTTAGAAAGTTCACGGCTTCTACCTGTTCAAATTGTTTAAGATCCACAAACTCCCTTACACTAGCCTATGATTTCCTTTAGAACAGGGCCTCTGAACTAATATTTTCTAATATAAATATGCCAAAGACTAAGTCACGACGCAGTAACTAAATAGCTGATCTATATTTTGATAAAAAAAGATCTTTATTTTGAGTGCTATATTAGCAACACTCAACTTACACTTGGAAATGCCTCTGATAGGAAAAAACACCTCTATCTTTCTACCTTACAATCTTAAAATTATGGACTTCCCCCTCAGTTTGAAAGCCTAAATATTAAAACTATATCCTAAAATTGTTACCTTTCGAACTGGTGGTTTAGTTATAATGTCTTCAAAGTTATCTTCTGCTTTTAATGTTTGAAAATTTTCATGTAATATTCCTATTTTCTTATCATTATCCCACCCTGCTGGACTGGAAAGAAAGACACACGAGAAATTTTCAAGCATTTACATAGTCATTCTTTTATTCAAACCAGGATTCCATTAAAGGGAACACATTTATAAAAATAAATTTGACCAATTATGAAAAAAAAACTAATCAACTTTTTTTATAGTGCTCAAGTTATGGTTTACTAATTTCTACTTAAAATAATTATCAAAAAAATAATTATCAATCTTCCTGATTAAAAAAAAAAGCCTTTATAGCTTTTTTTGGGTGTGGTGGTGGTAATGATTACCACTTCCCAATTTTATTCAGATAACTTTTTAAAAGCATGTGTCATTACACACTGGGGGCTTTATGTTATCACAACCAGTTAAAGAGTAAGTAGATACACTGACATGCACACCCAACAGACAGCTATAACAACAAGGACTTTCAAAAGGAGCTCAGGCCGACAGTAAATCTAAAAGACAACGAAAAATAGGGCAAGGCAGGTTATAAATAAAACAGTCTAATATATTTAAGTGTATACTTACATAAATACTGCATCTTTTTCCACAACAACAGCAGGATTCTTATATGGAAATCCATACAGTTTCTGAACGATGTATTTATATACTAAATCTATATTTTTGTTTTCTTTTACGGAAGTGTAAATAAGTGCTGCACCATCTGAATAACACTGTTAAAGAAGTTTCCGAACAAATTCCATAAACAGGTACCATTCAGTTCTTGTTCTCAGCCTAACACAGCTACATGATTAGTTTCAAAAGTCATTTCTAGCCCTGGCTGGTGTAGCTCAGTGGATTGAGCACGGGCTGCGAACCAAAGCATCGCAGGTTCAATTCCCAGTCAGGGCACATGCCTGGGTTGCAGGCCAGGTCCCCAGTGGGGGCCATGTGAGAGGCAACCACACATTGATGTTTCTCTCTTTCTCCCTCCCTTCCCCTCTCTAAAAAATAAATAAATAAGAAAAATCTTTAAAAAAAAAGTCATTTCTAAAGGTATATCAACTATAATAAAAAATATCCAAAGTATAAAACACATACAGGTTAAAACGCAAATAAAGATTTTATAATAAGCTATAGGTAATAAAATAAAACCGAAAGCTTCATTAAGCCAAGACGAAAAGGCAGATTTAGTAAAACTGACACCACTACTACCTATATTTAAAGCACATGAAGAGGCAATTTGTTTTTAAGCTTCTTCAACTTCAGGGAGGGGCATTATTTACCAGCAACTGTTTTGTTTGCCTTTTCAACAAAACTGGTTTGCACTGGTATCTCTTAATGGTTTTTACTAGTTCCAGGAATGAGAACTTCGGGGGCAAAGCTCGGGAGGCTCACAAAAGAGAGATGAACCGATAGAAATTAACAGGAGGCTTTCAGAAATGATCCAAGGTGGACTTCATGACCAAAACTCGGGATAAGACAACCTCACATGATGCTATACTGACTAAAGCAGACCCTAACTTTTATCCAAACAACATCATAGATCAAAAGAGGCCTGTGGAGAAGGGTCAAGGTGACTACCGACAGATGACATGGTCTGAGTGGCCAGCAGAAACTTTCCGACCATTGGTGAGGACCACTGCCCAGCACTAGCCATGTTGTCCCAAGAGAGGTGGTAACCTGGGCCAGAAAGAAATGCTGGGAATGGTCTGACCCCTGATCTGGAATAGTTGTATTTTCTAGGACATGAACCTAAAAGTGCTACTGCTAAATACTACATATCATAAAACTTGGTAGAAACAACTAGCATAATTTTAAGTAAAAGCTTAATTGTGTAAATTTTACACTAATGATCTTTCTTGTGAGAACCAATTTATGGTAATTGGAAAGATTTCTACAGCTGAAAACTTTATGTGGCAATTAAAAAATAAAGATGATTTTGAACTGTTGCCCTCACGCGTGCACACACACATACACACCATCTTGAAGTGACTTGTCACATATTCTGACAACTAGCTGTACTAAAGGTCTGTAATTATTTCCAGCAGGCAGTCTCCTTCCTGATTATGTTTCTGCATGGACATTTCAAGTACTGCATTAACTCTATGTTAAAAAAAGACTTCTCAAATTTGGTAACCTTCAAAGATAAAAAAAAGGCTATACAAAACTACTTCAATTACTTCCACTTTTTGTTTTCTTCTAGAAGACTCTTAGGTAGACAATGCCCTTTAATTCAACCTAACTCACCCATTATGTGACAAGAGAAGAGAAAGGGCCGTGGAAAGGACGAAGCACTGAAGGAAAAAGGAAAGGAAAACCACCAGTGTCAAGTGATCTTATTCATTATACAGCCACACTTTCTACTAAGTGGTCCTTCAAATAAATGTCCACTAATGAAAATGAAAAACTATAGATACTATAGGCATTGTGTATGTTACTTACTCTTCTTACCTACTTCTAATATCATTTCTTCACTTTTCAGACCCAAAAGCTTTGGTTGGAGAATGAAACTGCAAATCATCTGATCCATGTTCTCTCTCCAGCGCACGTAAGCCGTGGTAAAGCTTTCACTCCTAGCCCTTACTTACTTTATCCTTCTTTTAGTTTTCTACGTTATTCATTGGCTCATCGAACCCTTGCAACTTAGGCTGGACAAGAGTCCTTATGATAGCTTTTCTAACCTTGTGATCATTAAAATCAGGCCAGAAAACTTTTCAAAAGTATAGATTCTCTAGCTGACCTTGGATTATTCCAACTCAGTTAAGTCCTAAATGGGCACAGACAGATTTTGAAACCAGTGTGTTAGCCTGTGGAGATAATACACCGCACTAAACGCGTTGGAAATGAGAACACACAACCCTAAATGCTGATCTTGCCCCACTGCCCACCCAATCAATGAACTCCACTCTTGGGACGGGGGTCTGGTTTCATTTATTCAGACTCTAAAACAGAGTGTCAATAGTGTACTGACCAGCTACACGATTATTAATTATTCTCAGAATATTAATTATTCTATTTATGACTCAGAATTGGGCCTTTTAAAAAAGATAACAATACATGCTGGCTTGACAACAATTTCATCTCAGCATTTTAGGATATAAACATTGGTGATATGAACACCACTTTTTGATCAGAATGTTTACAATGCCAACTCTTTAGAATTTTTCACATAAGACTAAAAATTTTTTGCATCAAGCAAAATATTTTAAACACAGCGAATCAAATTTATATACTTCAATACTTGCTTTTATATCTTCAAATACCCAGATATAAATGATTTGAGAATATAAAATTTCCAACCAGAAGTAGAAGGAACAAAGCTTATGAGATTTCTGAAGTCCATCGATTTAATTCCTTTCCTCAAAACACAAAACAAAACAAATAAACAAACAAGAACAGGTAAGGTACATTGCACCAATCACTGTATTAAAAGGATACACTGTAAACAAAACTTCCGGATGTGTGACTGAATAAAATCAAAATGTTCATCTTTGTAATCATGTTCTTTCTCCAATACACTAATGGCATCACACTGTTGAGTTAAAATAATTTTTAAAAATACAATATTAACTTTAAATAATCAAAATTAAATACAATGATTTAAACAGATCAATTTTGGGCGAATGAACAGCAGGATCAAGAATATCAATTACTCCTGTCTAGAAACATTCAGCTGGAATCTAAAGACTACTGAATAATTTCATTTCTTTAAAAAGTTTTGAATTCTAAGTTATACTGAATGTGATAACAACACTAAAGGGGAAGTTTTAGTACAGAAAGGAATGAAGAATAACAGGACAAGCTTTTAATACTGGTAACTCAGCTACTCATGTCCTAGAACAAAACTTTTAAGATCTAAAATCTATTCTAGTTCTACAAAATGCTCTTGTGTATCCAAGCAGTCTGAAAGTCTCACTATTTCTTCTTTTTTCCTCTGTTTATCTGACAACTCTGTTGACCTTCATTTCTTTTCCGGTGCTTTTTCCCTTTCACTACAATTTCACCAATAGCAAAATAAAAATAAAAATAAAAAAGGTGGGGAATTACAGGCTATTTTTTAAAATGTCACCTGTATAATCAATGAAACAAACCTGAATTCTACTTGCTACAGTAAAAATGCATGTTCAAACATCATGATATCCAAATAACTTCAACAAAACCTTTCTTAATCGAAGGTATAAAACCTAAAAATAAACACTTAATAATATAGATTATTCACCTAATATTAGTGTGGCGTCAAATTTCATATGTAATTTTTATTATGCACATATACATCCTAGAACAGAATCTCCTTGTACCAAAATGATGTAGCACATTTGCCCACTCATAGAACATGTCCATTTATTTTAAATAAATTATCAAAGATACTTATTATACTGTTGACTTAGTATTTTTCCTTTGAAAATTTGTGAGGCAAGTTGTAGTGTGAAACAGGAAAATACCTGCCAATAAACAGCTCTTTGCTGAACAAAACAAAAACAAAACACAGAAAATGTGACAGTTTAAAAACAGTTTTAAAGAAAAGATGTAACAACGAACTAAACCAGAATCATCATTTGAAAAGCAGATAATAGACTTGACTTAAATGCTACCCTTCCCTAATTGTTATTGATAAATTTTGTAGTGTTTAAAGTATAATTAAGCTAGATTTAAGTTTTTTATCATTTTATCCTAAAGATGAATAAATTCCATACCCTCCTTTAATTACATGTGCAAACTATATATTACAAAAAGTATTAACAATTTTAGATCTCAAAAGGATTTATATGTTCTGTCATTTTCTTACCTACTCCATGACTTAACAAACAATAAAGACATACCACTCAGCTCTGACTGGTGTAGCTCAGTGGATTAGGCATTGTACTGCACACTGAAAGTTCGCCAGCCCTATTCCGGGTCAGGACACATGCCCGGGTTGCAGGTCAGGTGTCGGGTTGGCGGGGAGCATGCCAACCAAATTTTCTCTTGCACATCGATGTTTCTCTCCCTCTCTTTGTCCCTCCCTTCCCTTCTCTCTAAAAACAAATAAAATCTTTAAAAAATATACATATAAATAATTTATGTTTCAAGTTTATCTTCTTCCCATTTGGTCCTAAGTAGTATGTCTTAAAAAAAAAAAGATTTGGCCCTGGCTGAGCTGCCATCCAAAGTGTCGCAGGTTCGATTCCCAGCCATGGTACATGCCTGGGTTGCAGGCCATAACCCCCAGCAACCGCACAGTGATGTTTCTCTCTCCCTTTCTTCCTCCCTTCCCTCTCTAAAAAATAAATAAATAAATAAAATCTTTTAAGGAAAAAAAAAAAGATTTTATTTATTTATTTTTAGAGAGAGGGGAAAGGAGGGACAAAGAGAGGCAGGGAAACATCAATGTGCAAGAGAAACATCTGCCTCTTGCACGCGGGCTGCACCCTGGGCACGTGCCCAGGAATGAAACTCGTGACCACTTGCTTTGCAGGATGATGCCCAACCAACTGAGCCATGCAGGTCAAGGCAAAGCATAAATTATTTTTAAAGGAAATTTGATTTGATTGCAAAGAGTATATAGTGACAGACTAAATGAACAGAATTTTAATTTTAGTAATCCTATCAGAATCTCTTTAATAGATAAAAAGCCCCAGATAACCACATATCAACTTTACATAATGAGTGCTTAAAAGTCTTTTATTTTAGGTGTTGAAAGTAGGTGTGTAAAAGTCTATTCTATTTTAAATACATAATTGTTTGGTATTAGCATACCAAAATCTAATATGAAAAAATTACAAAAATTAATAGTTAAATTATCTTGCCTGTAATTATTTCTGCTAAGCTGACTGTATAATGAAGTCTAATTGGAATCTGGAAAATGATATTCAATCACAAACAGAATATCCGAAACAACATTTCTTTCAAAAAAACTATGATTAAGATCACACACAAAACCAACATGTGAATATCATTCAATATTTTAAACTATTGTTTCTATTTGTTAAGCAAAATTATCCAGGAAAAATAATGTGTCAGCTCCAAAAGGAGTCTGGGAAAGAAAACAGTTGCTCATCCTTGGTTAACACCAGTAACAGAATCTCTGGACGCAAACTAACCTTTGTGCAAACTACTAGTACTGGAATGCCCAAGTTATGTGTCAGTGTGTCCGCACCCAGAGGTAAAACCACACTGTCGCCTTTGTCTTCCTGTGACATGGTGTTTCTTCTCTGAGGAGAAGCTGGGAAATCTTCTCCTGGCTCTACATATTCTTGAAAGTCTCTAATCACTGAAAAATCAAAGTAAATAATTTAATGCATAGTTTAGAAAATGCTTTATGTCAGCAGGTAGCTTTTTCTGCCATAATCTCAATATATATTTTACTAGAGTTTACACTTTGTCTTGTGTAAGAGAAGAAGCAAAAAGGATATTTGAAATCTATGTCAAGGACAGTGCCGAAACCCTGGACCCACGTTAACTGTGAGGAGGCAGAGTACGACACTGATTGGCTCTAAAGAGTGGTGTTCAACACAGGTGTGGTTTAGTCTGTGCAAGTCCTTTGGGCTAGTCGTAACCTAGCTTTGTCTCTATCTTCTCTAATTCACAGAGGGTACTGAAAAAGGATACAAGAAAAATGTGTGGGGGAAAGCAGGGGGACTTCCACAACTTAAAGACAGTCCTAGATGACTTTCTAAATATTAGTTTCCTTTCTCTAAACTCTTTGCTTGGGTCTCCTTGGTACACAGGTGCAATCTTGGACCACATTAATTCTGTAACCCTGGTGAGAATTAGAGACATTACCAACACTCATAAATTTTTAGAACTCATTTGCAAGACCGTCAAAACCCTCACTTAAAAGTACTTAAAGTGAATGTATCAAGAACCTTAACAATGTGTCCTTTGACTCAGTAATTCCTCTGAGAAATTCTCAAAGAAACAACCAGTATTGCGTACACACACGGGGATTTCCGTATAAGACTGCTTTTCGTGTTTAAAAGCAAAACAAATCTGAAAACACATTAACCACAGCACAGGATTAAAACAGTATGAGGGAATATTATACAGAAACATGAAGGAGGAAAATGTGTTGAACTTACAGGGGGTCAAGAAAGAGGAAATCATGAAACCTGAGCACAGTTCCTCCAAGAACAAAGGGGCATGCATACACCCTTAGCAGCTCTGGTAGCTGCTACCCTTCAAATCAGAGGCTGAAATCTAACAGTGGTTCTCAGGTTTTAGCATGCACCTGAATTTCTGATTTAGTAGTCTGGGGCAGGGCCTGAGAATGGGTATTTCTGACCAGCTCCCAGCTGTACTGCTAGGGATGCTGCTAGTCTCGGGACCACTGCTACTGTATAAATTTAGAGGGGGCAGGGGAACTCCAGAGGCAATGGCTAACAGGGAACGAAAGGTATAGATTAAGAGCAGTTAGACACCTTTGTCAATGATTTAGTACATATATTCTCTTAAGTTTTTACTGTCTCCTTGCACATAAATTCCAGTAAGCTGTCACTTCTCCTCAAAAAGTTATGAGCTAACAAAACAAGGAAAAGCAGCATTCCATCTGTATATTTTCTTAAGCACAGTACAACATTGGCAAATGAAGTACTCTCCGTGAAATTAAGAACTGTGACAACTGGCTTACAACCTGTTAGAAATGACCCATGTCATTTTCATAATTTCCATGAAAATGTCCAACTTACATGGGCATGTACAAAATACATTATGTACTTTGTGAATCATAAAACCAGTTTAACGTCGTTGTATTTATGTTGTTACCATCTTTTTGGACATGTTTCATTTTGACAAAGTTGATAAGATTGATCTGCTTATCAAGACATGGAACTGCTGAAAATGAGCAGCTGAAGAAAGATTCATGTTTTTTTATCTTGAAAAACAACTCTTCAAAATGAACACATATGGCCTTTTGGCAAAGGAGTAAAGGCACCTCCGTGACAGAGTCTGCCATTATGTACACGTTTCCAATTTAAAGCCATATTAAAACCTAGCACATCATTTAAATTTAATTTCAAAAACAGTACTCACATGATGTTCTCCTCATTAAACCTTGTTCAAAGTCAAAAATTCCTAACCATTATGATAGCCAGCTAGGAAATTTGTATTTGAAATCCCTATTAATATTTCTAGACTACTCACACTTTTGTTCCATTTCTTTCATTTCTTCGGGAGGAATTTTCAGTTTGTCGATATGTTCTCTAATGACACTTGCCCACTTCTGTAAAGAATCCAAAGCAGTCCAAGGCTTTGACATATCAACAACCAGCATAACTAGAGTGTCCTTCAGGGAGAGGGCATCCAGTGAGAACTTAAGGAGGCCTTTGTGATACAAATCTCCATCTAAAATCCACACATTGCATCTTGTTTGATCTACAACAAACAGAGGAAAGTTACCAAGGCAACAGGATTAAGTTACTTCATCATTCAAAGAACAGCACCACTTGGTATTTTAGGCCATCTCCACAGGAGATGCCTCTTTCGACAAGGTTCAACTATTTATGTCACATCTACCAACTGAATAAGGGCCCAACCCACATTCAAGAAAATGACTCAACGGCCCACACGGGACACCAGCATGCTCTACTTCATGCTTCTCAGTCCCGGACCACAGCCTGAAGAACACGTTGCCGTCCTTCCTTACCGTCGGCAGACAGAGACAGGCACACTCAAGATATTATATATACAAATGAGAAAGCAAGTGGTCTGTAGAAGAAAAAATGGCTGATCACATAAGAAAAGCTGGGGAGATAGTTTTTATGTCAAAAAAGTGAGAAGCAGATAAAAGGTAATAGGGAGTCAGTAAACAATCATGGGATACTATTATTATTTCACTGAGGGGAAAATGAACTGAAAAATCGACACTCTTCAAAAACTGACAATCAGCAAGAAAGCTGAAGTCTACACAGCGAAATATCTTAAGATGTTTAAAATATCACTACATGAACCCCAATCCCAAACCACTAAAAGGATGCCTAGCGTGACTATTTACTGACTGGCATGACACGGCAGGACTCCCAGGAGAAAATGACCCGAAGACTAAGAGGAGCAGCAGTGCACCGTGGGAGGACTTCAGGAAACTCAGGTTACAAACAGACGACACTCACCGTCCCTGTCTTCATCGTGAACATTTAAATACAAATATTCCAATCCTCTTCCTTTTTTGTACTCCTCTATTCCCTGAATTTTTCTTATTAAGCTTGTTTTCCCAGCTCCATCTTCACCTGTAAAAAAGGACAAATCTTTTAAATGGTAATATGGAACACACACACGTGGATGCTTTCTAGCGCCAAGTGAAGACCTAACTAGAACTAGTTTCAACCAGAAGGGTCATCGGACGGCAGTAACCAGGGAACCGTAGAGCTGAAGATGCAGACTTCACCTCCAGGATTTTCTCTCCTCGGGTCTCTTCCTCTTGTTAAGTCTCCTGTTCTATCCTGTCACAAATGGCTTCCTTTGTGGGTATTTTTCAGGAAGCTCAACTCTTTTGGCACCACAGTTTTAATCTACAAGGAACAAAAGACTCTTTTTCAGCTTTCAGTCTGAAGAAGCTGCAGTGAACACTCTTAAGTGGCTACTCATGGTGGTGGGTGGCACGTCAGAGCCGACCGGGGCAGGGAACGGCGACGGCAGCCTCGCCGAAACCACGGAGCCACAAGAAGTGTGTAGCAAGGGAGAGGGGTGGAGGCTGGGGGTAGGAAAGTGGGTAAGAAAAAGGGTACAGGGAATGCAGAATAGACAAAAATAAAATGCAGACTTTAAAAACATTAACAGCAAAAATCATGTGATTTAAACTCAGCACAAGTTTAAAAAGTTTAAAACTAGGCTAGCTATTCAATGTTTTGGTGAGGATTTTTTAATATTATGAATGTATTTAATACTACATGGTACTGTTTCATAAACTTATTTCATTATTAGCAATACTATGTTAATAGTCATTTCTTAAATCTAAGGACTTACTCGTAGAGATTCATGAGTTCTCTGAGAATTTAAAAATTGTTTTCATTTTCATGTTAAGCTTTGAAGAAATTATATATGTCTTCGGTCTTCTGAATCTTTATATCAAAGCCACAAGACTGCAGTACCCACCTCCGCACTGGTGTTTCTAGTCCCACTGGTGCCAGGCTGAGGCCAAGCGATGCAGACAGAACAAGCACGCAAAACTCAAAAAAGGTATCACAGAGCGGTCAGTTCTATATTGAACCGTACTGGCCAGGCTGGTTCTTTTTATGAACGATTTCCCAACACTTCATAGTAATAAGCGTAGCCTTAAATAGGCAATAAAGAACTTGTCATTAAATGAGTATGCATTTTTCAGTATGATTTTTGCTGTGTACTATTAAAATGATCCATCAAAAGAACAGATTCGGTTGGAAACAGTGATATGTATGATAATGACAAGGACTGTCACGATACTCCACCATGCTTAAAGCGGAAATAAAGTTTAACCAGTGAAAAACAAAATGCATAAGTACTTACATCTACTATTAAACCTAAATAGCATTTAATTCAGTAAAACATCGTTTGTTATATTGAGTGCTAATGTGAATTTTATCAGCTGTGTAGTTGTTATGGCATTTAGTTTATCATTTGTTTTGGTTTTGTAATTGCTCAAGAACTGCATATAAAAAGAATTTCAAGAATTCCTATCTAGTCACCTCACTAGGCATGAGCATGAGATATAAAAATAACTTCAATCATTGTGCAAGGAGACCTACGAAAACCTGTTAAAGAGAGTCAGAATAAGCAGGGTAGAGGGCTCCAATGGCAAGGAAACCATTCTGTGTACGACAGTGCTAGACTCCCGTCCTTACACATTTGTGAAACCCATATGATGTGCAGCACCAAGAACGAACCCTCGTGGACTTCAGGTGACACCGTGTTCGTGTCGGTTCGTCCACTGTAATAACTGAAATAAACGTGCCACCGGTGGGGTACTGATAGACAGTGGGGGAGGTTTTGCAACTGTGGAGATAGGGAATATTCAGAAACTCTCTACTTCCCACTGAATTTTGCTGTGAACCTAAACCTGCTCTAAAAAATAAAGTTTATGAACTTGAAAGTCTCTGAGCCTGTTCTAGAACTAGAAAAAAAAGAACCGAGATTTCTTTTCTGGCTGACTACTTTCCTGAAAGAAGTCCTCTAAGGAAAAATGACCCAGATGAACAGTGACCGCCCCACAGAAACAATGTTATGTATCATAAGCAAAAACGCAGTCCCCAGACTTATGACAGAGGCTTATGTTCAGTAAGAATTTTCTAAAGCATATACAGATCCATAAACATAGGCGGTAAACACATAAAACTTCATTTAATATGACACAAAATTTACCTTACTTCTCACTTTAGATGTTAGAAAATGAAAAGATACCTTAAAAAGAGTCAAAAAATTCAGATGAAGGGGGTAATTAGGGGTGGACAGAAAAAGGGAAGGGGATTAAGAGATACAAGCTTCCAGTTATAAGTTCTGAGGACGTAATGTACAGCATACGGAATATGGTCAATAACATTGCAATAACTTTGTACGGTGACAAATCGTCACTATACTTATTATGGTGATCACTTCATGACGTATACAAATGTTGAATCACCATGTACATCTGAAACTAATGTACTTCAATATACACACACAAAAAAGACAGTAAATATATACTTTAGGGGCAAAAAAATTTCAGACCAGTGTATTTCAACTTACTTTCAATATTTCAAATGATTCAAATAAAAAAATTTTCTGAATAAAAAATATACATACTTGTAGATAATCCTAAGCATAAAATAATAAAAACCATAACATCAGCTAGAAATAACCACTGATAATTTGGTTATCTCTGATGACGACATTATGAGTGGTTCTTTAAAATAACAACTTTGCACCTTCCTTTGGTTTAAGCAAATCCCAATTTTAAAGGTTTAATAGGCTCAGAACAGATTCTGAGCCCAAATTCGTGACATCAAAAACACTGTCAGTCTTAACCACGCATGCTCACTATTTTAAGCTCTCCCAGCCATTGCCAGAGCATAGGTGTTTCCTTTTTCTAGAGCTGAATACGAGATGCTCACAAGGCCAGAGGTTATTCCTCCCAGTGAATGTTTTCCATCCTTCATTTCACAAGGTCAGAGGTTATTCCTCCCAGTGAAAGTTTTCCATCCTTCATTTCACTGGAGTAATGGTTCTCAAAATATGCATCACATGGGGGCCTTGTTGAAACACCCATTGCTGGGCCTCACCTCCTGAGTTCCTGATTCGGTAGGCCTGGGGCAGGGCCCAAGAATCTGTATTTCTAACCACTTCCCAGGGTTGCTGATGCTGTTGGCCTGGGACCACTCTGAAAACGAGTGCATTAGACATTTACTACACGGAGCCAAGCACTAGGAATACAAATACCCGTATGTCAAAGTTGCTGTCCTCTGGGAGCTCGTAAATTGGAAAGGGAAAACAAACAGAAGACAATTTCAAGATATTATCATCAGCACTACACTAGAAATAAGTGACAAACTAGGAACCCAGGCCTAAGGGAAAATTCTGGCTTTGCTTGGAGCTCAGAAAGGGCTTTGAAGAGAAGGTATCACATCAGCCAAATCTTGTAGTGTTAATGAGCTATGGAGAGTTCGTCATTCTGGGAAGCAAGGAAAGTGCATACTGAGGCCTGGAGGCAAAGAAGTCCTTTTAGAATGGACAAATAATCTGAATGCATGAAATTTAGAATGTAAAGGGAAAATGAGCCAAAAAGTGAGAACAAATGCCATGTCAGATCATGAAGGGCACGCTACGCTGGGCTGAGATGGTTAGTCAGACCTCATCCTGAAGACGGTGGAAAGCCACTGGCAGTGTGTCAGTGTTACAGAAAAACCGCTAGGGCAAAGTGTGCAAGACGGACTAAAGGGCTGTTTAGGAGTAAGCAGACGAGATAATAGACTATTATTGGAGTCCCAGCAAGAAATGAAGTAGGCCTGAGCTAAGGTGTTAGCCATGGGGTGGGGCATCTATACTCAAAGGTTGGAAAGTAGCGAAAATGAGCAAGACAGAAGTCAGAGAAGACTCTCCCCTGTTACAGCTTCCGTAACACTGCTCTCCTATTCTCCTACTGCTCAGGGGGCTGACCCTAAGCCTTCCCTCAGGCAGCTCTTGCATCCCCACCCAATGCTCGTGCTCCCCACGGCTCCCTCTTCAGCCCCCTACTCCTCTCACTCCGTATGGAACTCCAGCAGAATCTCCACATGTGACCTTGATAGCACCTACATTCCAGGGACCTACGGACTTCCTTCGAGCCTCAGCCTCTCCTGAACTGCTTACTGGTCATCTCTACTTGGATGTCCCATAAATACCTCAACTTTCAACATACACAAAAGCAATGTCATTATCTTGCCACCTTTCCCCAACACACTCACTTATGTAATTATTACTGTAAGTCTCCAACTTCAAGGCCTTCATACCCACTGTTCCCTCCATGTAGAACATGCCCTCTTTAGAAATCTACAGTGTATGTCACCTAACCTTCTTCCCCTCTTCCCCAGCTATGTCTTCCTCAGGCAGGCTGTCCCTAACCACCTCATTTAAAATCACAACCTCCCAGCAAACCTATTCCTTCTTGTTTTTGTTTTTTTTCCATTGAACTTACTATCAGAATATGAATTTTACTTAGTCACTCCCTCCCTGAACAGCTCCAGAGGAAAAGGCATTTCTGTGTTGTGTTGACTGCTGCAGCCCCAGTGCCCAGAGAGGGCCTGTGACCCAGGTGCCGACTGACTGCTCCTTTCAGAGCGAAATGTGTGTTCCCAAGCTTCCTACGAGCAGTCACTAACAACCCTGTCTTAACAAAAAATGTGCAAAAGTATTATGAACATGAGATTCACAAATCCCTGAATGAAGAATACAAATTTTGTCCCCTTACCCACTTTGGGGGTATTTTAAAACTTTGTGTATTGATGGGTTTGAAATACAAAGCCTAAAAAAAAGGACCGGGACTTCCAGTCGAGATGGAGGCATAGGTAAACACAGTCCGCCTCCTCACAAAACCACATCAAAATTACAACTAAATTACAGACCAAAGATCACTCAGAATTGTCAGAGATTGAGTTGAATGGAAATCTGACAACTACAGAACTAAAGAAACCACATCAATTCAGGGGGGAAGGGAACGTGGAGAAGCAGAGACGTGGAGACACCAAACAGGAGGGTCCCACACCCAAGTGTGGTGAATAAAATTTCGAGAAGGCAATCTCGG